GTGGAGGGGGGGGTAGAGGTTGTCAGGGGGGACGAAGCATGTGATTGGGATAGTGGTTCTTAAAATGACAGTTCAAATAGTACAGTGATGATGATGATGGCGATAATGATGATGATGATTATGGTGATGATATAAAAATCATAATAGTAGTGCTAATTGAGATAACAACAATAATAATAATAATAATAATCAATCAGGATGTGGGTATATTGTGGAGGATAATAGTGATGATTATTTTGATTAATTAGATTTTTCATTCATTATTTCTCGTGCGTTAGACGTATTCACACGCATGCGTAACTCCATGGTGCAGATCTACACAGTGTTGTACACTTCGACTGTATTCATGTTGCAACCTGTTTGCGTGGTCAACATCTGTGATTCTGCTGCTTGTAGGGTCAGCAGGGCAGTGCGTCTGCGCTCGCCTACCGCATGGCCAATGCCTCGGAGCTGCTCCACTTCATGAAACAAGACCGCGATATCAGCCTGTATTCCGTCACCGCGCAGGTACGTTCTATTGTTTATAGTCACATGATTCAAACCACCGTGCCAAGTTCTGTGTGCTGCAGTGGCTGGGCCGAGTGTAGTGTAGTGACCCGAGAAGAAGAAGAAGAAGAGTCACATGATATCAGCCCGTACTGCGGCACCATGCAGGTGCGTTCTATTGTTTATAGTCACGTGACATCGGTCCGTACGCTGTCACCACGCAGGTATGTTCTATTGTTTTTAGTTTGCTACTTCACCACATTGGGACGCGCTATTATACAGATTCATGTGACTTATTGCGACACAGGTGTGCAACACGTTCTATTGTTTATATTCGTTTGTGTCGAGACAGCACCCCTAATGTGCATGCTCTATTGTTTGTCTTCACCTTGTCACGTCACCACACAAGAAAACTCGAGTGACGTGCACTTGTTTTAAGTTACGGGCGATGTCTGCCTCACACGGCCGTCATCCCGCGCGGTGCGCATGCACGTTCTATTGTTTATAGACGTCTCTGTATTGTTCGCGCAGGACAAGCTGGCGGACGTCGTGCACTCGGCGTTCAAGTACTTGACACGCTGCCTCCAGAGGGAGCTGGAGGCCACGCTGCCGACGTTTCTCGACGACACCGACCAGGACGACGACGGTAGCGCCATCAGTGAGTGAATGCGTAACTACGAACGCGTTGTCCCGATCGCTTGCTGAGAAAATCTACAATCGTACTAAATGCGTTCTCCCGATCGCTTGCTTAATTAATAAAATCCCTTTTGGTTCAAAATTTTTTCGCTGTGTGTGTGAATCGCTCATGTTCGCAGAATTAAATTCGCTCTCGCAAATGTTTATGTTGCAACTAATCGTTGCGATCATATCGATCCGCTCTGCGCACGTGTTATTGTTGCAGTGAATCGTTCGCACGTGCACGCTCCGTTGTTTCAGATCCGGTGCTGAGCACGCTGGCGTCGGCGATGGCGTTGCTACGGCGATGCCGCGTCAACGCCGCGCTCACCATACAGCTGTTCTCACAGCTGTTCCACTTCATCAACATGTGGCTGTTTAACAAGGTGAGAGGAGAGGGTGGGGGCAGGGGAGGGAGAGAGGGATGGGGAGGGAGAGAGAGAGAGAGAGAGAGAGAGAGAGAGGGGGAGAGAGG